AAATTCATCGATACCGATAGTACAAACTTCTGAATTTTGCTTACAAATTATTCGTTGCGATGATTCACGAACATATTCAGCTATTGATTTATTCCAGCGACCGCACGAAATAATACGACGACTGTCCCAGTAACAACCACAACCACAACAACAGCCACAACAACCCTATCATCCCCCAAACCCAGTCCAGTCTCACCCTCAACTACAACTCCAAGGCCAGGTGAGTCTATTGCAAGTATATATTCTCTTGCTCACACGTTCCAAACTTAGCAAACTCTTACTTAATGAAGTTATGTTACTAAATTATTGATTGTATTAACAGTATCCCGTCAAAAGATATTCCGTTTATTACACAAATGACATTCACTCGATAAAATTGATAAAATATCACCGCATTCAGCACCTCTTTCAGCTGTTCCACCGCCCTGTTATAATTATTTCGTGTTCGTTTTGGACGCATCAAACGGTACTAAACATTTTGCGAATGAAGTCAGTTTATTCAGATTTGAATTTCTTTATTGTTTATGTTTAGATTAGAATCTCCGTCGTTTTTGCATGCGAAAACGGCGGAGATTCTAATTTAAATGATTGCAATATTGCTGTTGTGGTGCATTAATGATTAAAATAGAGATGAAATACATAGACTTTAGGGGTTCGTGAAATCGCGAAACTAGATGAAATAACTTCTGAGATTTGGTTATATCTCTGGAGTTAGGCATTATTCGTTGATAAAATATTATTCATTTCTCTGATGGATGAGATTCTGACCACATAAGTACGAGAAATAAATCATTAAATAAAGGAATATATGAGATAATTCCTATCGAGGTGTGTTGAATTTCAGACAACAACAGTACTCAGTGTAACGAAGTTGTGGAATTTGAATGGTACTGGGAAGTTGCAAGTAGCGCTCATGGTGACTGGTTTAAAAGATTACCTTGGTGTTGTATACAAACTGAAATTTTATAAAAATAAAGAATGGAGGAATGCGTTGCAGAAATTGAGTTCAGATTTACAATTCAATATGGGAGGACCGACGATGTCACCTCAAAAGTGAGTGTATGTAAATTAATTTGATTTATTGAAACAAATAACGTTAATTATCGGAGTTGATTCGTATTACTTTTTTAATTCGTGAAGAATTTCGCTGTCAATTTCAGTATATCGAAT